AGTGTTTGCAAAGCAGGGAGGAGGAAAACTCCACTTACGCTGCATGCAGTGATGGCAGATTGGTTCCATCTTCTTGTGAGGAACCACTGGCCAAGGAAGACAAATCAGAGGAGACTGATTCTGGCGACTCACTGCCACCTTTGGAGTTCATCAGTCCGACTGAGAGACGATTACACTCAGATGCAGAGGATACCGGGCACGCATCGCTCGGCCCGGGTGATCTTGTGCAACTAGTAGACTTGCGCGCACAAGGGCTTAACGGTCAGGAAGGCTATGTTATTCGCTTGTCCTCTGGCGACCAGCAACGAGTTGAGGTCAGAATGCTGGTAAGCGGCAAAACTCTCGCAGTTCGGCGGCGGAATGTGCGGCCACGAGAGGCTGAAGAAGTGAGGAGCCAGAGTCAGGAGAGTTTGCGCAAAGGTGATGAGATCGTCGTGCGCGGCCTCACCTCTGCATTGGAGTATAATGGCCAGAAGGGCTTGGTTGTTGAGAGCGACGCTCAGCGGATAACTGTTGAGCTGCGGTCCGGGAGGAGGCTATCCCTCCGCCGGGATAAGCTTCAAAGGGTTCCCCAGTCAGAGAGTGAAGATGACAGGCCACCTAGTCGGCAAGCAAAGTCTAAAAAGGAGCCACCAGCAACTGCAGCCAAGTTCCAGGTTGGGCAGAAGGTGTACCTGAACATTCCGAAGAAGCCAGAGTACCATGGTCAGATGGTTTTTGTTTTGCCGTCCGACCCACTGCGGGTGCTTGACAGTACTATGGTCACAGTTCAGCTGCCGACTGGCAGGAGGATCGTAACCAAAGAGACGCATTTGCAGGCAGAGGCGCCAGGCAGCACAAGTTGCCGAAGAAGCTCAAAGCGTAAGCCCTAGCAATGCCCTGTGACGGCGCGAAGCGCAATTGGCTCCTGGCTTCATGTTTTGAACGCACAGAACTGTGCAAAGATATCGAAAGCAAGTTGTACATAGTTAGAGGGACGAGACTCGCGAGATTTGTGACAAACGTGCTGTTGCGACCGCGTGTGTTTGTGTTTGTGTGTGTGTGTGTGCGTCGGCGCGTCCCGGATTAGGAAGCTGTTCAACTACCAAGCTGTCCATTGGACTTGTGCGGCTTCGTGCTGTGCTCAAACTCGCAGTTAAGTGCAACTCGCGCACGGCAGGCAGAGCGCCGCAGAATACGAAGAGAGCAGCTTGCCAGTGGTGTTAGCGGAAAGGTTGCGGGGAGGTGCAGGAAGTTTTGGAAAGATATGTGGGTCAGACCTGGCAACAGGTTGCATTAGGTTTGGTTGCATGTCAACGGGACTGGGCATCAGGCAGCCAATTGTCTGGTGGCAGCCCAGACATGCCTACAGCTTGTTTGCATTCAGCCAATACGGTGTTATTGACCGCATGTGGGCAGAAAGCAATGGACAAGCGCAGAGTCTCAGAGAACATTCTGGACATCCCTTTGGACTGGCTTGCATCACAGGAACTTTGCAAAGCACTGTTTTCTTCGGATGGCTTGGGGCCTTTTGGGGCCTTTCGGGCCTTTTGGGCCTTTTCGGGGCTTTTGGGCCTTTTCGGGGCTTCGGCGCGTGGCTGGTCCGAGGCAGCTGGAGCGCCGTGCCGCTGAGTCCAAGCACCGCATCGACGGGGCTGGCAGCGCTTGGCACGAGGTGCTGGGCATCTCGGCCACGGCCTCCCTTCAGGAGGCGAAGCGCCTGAGCTGCGGTTCGGAGTTGAACTCTTGGCTCTTGAGGCCAGTGATGTTTCTGGTATTGTGAGGGTTTTTTACAGAGATTAAGTGAGCCAAGTGGAAGAGAAGGAAGCAAGCCGAGCATGTGGCCTGCTGACTGCAGTTTGAAAAGTAAGTGTCCAAGTGTGAGCTTCGGATAGCTTCGGGGTTCTTTGCCGTAGTGGTGCAATCAGCCCCATGAGGCACCCGCCGCCACGTTCAACCAAGCGCACAGGTAGAGCACAGGGTATTTTTGAGCTATGGGGGTTGGTGTGAAGGTGTGAAGGTTATTGTAAACGTATCGCCCGTATCGCGCTGCCCTTGGCCACGGGCTATGTGATTTAGAGGTCTTACTCACCACACGTGAGAGCAGCGTGAGTATCAAGGCACAGCCGCCAAAGCGCAAGGTCCCCCAGGGCCCCAGGGTGGGGCTAGGTGACTTTGCAAGGGCCACGGCGGCCACAGCCACATTCTTGGCACATTCTTGGCACGTCTGGTGCTTGAGGACGTCCAAGGGCAAGGCTTGCCAAGCCGCCGCAGCCCAGGAACTGGTACGGTCTTGGCGCTCACGAGCCCCTTTCCAACGCAGGATGGCCGCGGATAGGCACACGCTCGTCGACTGAGCCTGGTGAACGTGCCCTTTGTCAACTCAAGCCTGGTGAAAGTGATTCTCTCCAATCAAGCCTGACGACAGGGCCACGTCGGTGGGTGGACAAAAGGCTCACTTGAAACGCGGTGCGCAATGACACCAAAGACGCAGCGCAGACTGAGAGCAAAGCAGCTCCCGAAAAAAAAGAATGTGGGTGTAATCCGCTCCCCCAATTAATGAATGACCCCAATTAATAATAAATGCAAATCCGGGGCCCGGGACCAGATTTCCACTCCACACAATTGATTTTCCATTGCGCCAATACTAAACCAATACTAACGTCTTGGAATCCTTATTAGGGGGCACTTTTGGCAAGCTTCCAGCCTCACTTCTCAACAGGTGGGTTCCTCAATTCCCCAAAAGGTTGCTTTCCCAAAAGCTGGCTTCTCAAAAGGTTGGGTTCTTTTGGTGGGTTCCCAAAAAGGTTGTTCTTGACTCTGTTGTCTCTCTCCCGTACATGCTGGCTAATTAACCTGTCTGGCTGCAAACAAACAACCAGTAAACTGGTAAACAAATAGAATGATGCATCAAATTTCCTTATTGAACCGCTTACTCGCGGACCTTACAATTCAATCCATTTCATCCAAATCCTACGTGAACCCTCACATTGTTGGAAAAACAGAAAAAACCAACCCCAAAAACCACAATTAAAAAAATATATATTTTTTGGGGGGGATTTATTTATAATAGGGGGGGGGGGCCGTATTTATTAATAGGGGGAAGAGATTATTGTCCGAAGGGATGTAGCTGACACCCAGGCGTGCGAAAAAAGCCACAAGTTTAGCAATGTCTTCCCAGGTTTCGGAAGGCACAGCGCATGCAATGTGGAGCCCTCGGAGGTTTGTTCCATTTCCGGGAAATGAAGTCGGGGCTGAGGTGGGTGGCACGCCGAAGGGAACTGGCTTGGGACAATCGCGCAATTTGAGCAAGTATAGTGTTTTTGTCGTTCCCTCGCGAGGCTGCGTTGTAAGATGGCGACATCCTCCCAGCTCGTCAAATGGGGCTTCTTTACTGATTTCCACGCAAAACCGGCAAACCGGGGGCACTCTGAAAAGAAACTCTAGGAGACAAGCAGTTTTGTTCAGTTGACAAGAGGCGCTTTTACCAGGTTTAGTTGACAAGAAGCGTGTTGACCGGGCATAGTTGACAAGAAGCGTGCTTACCAGGTTTAGTTGAGAAGAAGCGCTTTCAGCGGGCTTAGTTGACGAGAACCGTGTTTACCAGGTTTTGTTGAGAAGAAGCGCTGTCAGCGGTCTCAGTTGACAAGAAGCGTGCTTACCAGGTTTAGTTGAGAAGAAGCGCTTTCAGCGGGCTTAGTTGACGAGAACCGTGTTTACCCGGTTTAGTTGACTAGAAGCGCTTTTACCAGGGTCAGTCGACAAGACGCCACAGATAGAAAACAGTAGTGGCCTATAGTGGCTCGAAATTTCAGTCTAATTGTAATTGATTGTAATTGTGTGTTTTAGGTCCGGCTGCAACCGTGCGAGCCTGGCATCTAAGGCAAGCCTTCCGCGAACTGGCCCTACTTCATCATCCGGACAAGGGGTTTGAAAACAGTGATGACACGCACCTCGCCAGACACGCGGACGCAGTGCGTGAAAGTCAGTTTCAAACCCACTTGGTTACTAAGAAGTTTTCGCCATGGTGGCATGTGGCACTTGTCCTTGTGCTCTCTTGTGGTGTTGCACGCTGCAAAGGTTTCGAGTTGTCCGGGCAGCCTATCAGCGGGCTTTGGCCTTCCTCCAAGAGAGGGACAAGGACTGCGAGTGTTCCGAGAGATGTTTTGTTTCCGCGGCATTCATGAGTACATTTCATTCATTGCATGTGCCGTTCCCTCCATATCCCGTTCCCATCTCACGCTTTTTGAGGCTGGATCTCCAGCTGCTAGTTGACGGTGAGCACTGAGTGGCCAATGGTCGTTGGATTTTAGCCGGCTGTAAGCCTGGTGCAGCTGACAAGCAGGCGCGCCAGGCTCAAGCAGCCTCAGCCACACTGCAGTGCCCTTTTGCAGATGCCAATCAAAATTGAAGTACAAGATAACTGGGGTTTCCAAATTGTTAGACTGCTAGAGCCAGCCCTAGTGATTGTGGCGATTGGCAAGTGCAGAGGGGTACGCATCTTGGGCCGCGAGCACACGCACCCAAAATTAGGTTTGCCAATGCACTTAGCAAGCGCGGCAGCGGATTGCGACAACTTGCACCATGCAGGTCTAATGATGTTGCGGTCTCATTGTCTCATTGCTCCTTTCCTCTCCAGCAGGGCGCAAATCCTGAACCTGCCGCTTCTTGCTACCATCACATAGCCTGTGCTGCTTGCTTTGAAATCTTGCAATGTAGCGCAGCAAGTCGAACTGAAGAAGGCTGGTACTGGGGAAGTCACTGCCGGCCAGTTCTGGTGCAAAATGGAGGCACCAAATCAATGCCTTGCAGCTGTTTACGTTGTCCTTCGCCAAGGTAGCCCAACTCATTCAAAGCCTCAATGGCTTGCCGCTGTCCGTTGGCAGGGTGGCGCTGTGGGTTGAGGTCGCTGGTTACAATCCAGCACTGCCATGTGGACCCGCGGAAAATTCGAGTGTTTGCGCAGTTGCTAAGCAAGTTGCGAGACGTGTCAGCATGACGAACACGTTTGCCGACGTGAGGCTTGTCCGAGAAGACCTTGACTCCATTGAGAGAAACATCCTGGAGAAGGTCCAAAGAAGGCGGCAGGCGCCCTGCATCTGGTCTTTGGTAATGGCCATCACCCCACGCACAAGCACCCCCAAGCAAACGGAACCAGCCTCCTTGTCCATGAGTTTGGACCGCATGTCAAGCCTCAAAATGTCAGGTGAGATCTGCCTCGGCGCCAAGAGGCATCTCAGGTTCCAAGCCGCAGCCCACCGCACTTGCGGGGCTGACACTCGCTTGTGCCTCTGAACTGTGAGCCTTTTCAATCCGAATCTGCATCCCTGGGATCCTCAAGACACCAGGTCTCGGACTCTCCGGACTCCACAGACCCCACCCTTCCACCTCACATGCAGCTGGCAATGTGAGGGCCCCAGAACCTTGAAGCGAAGTGCGCGTTGCCGGCGCCTTGCACCCCGAAACCGGAGGGTGCCAAAGCCTTTGCTGCTGAAGCCGCCGGATTGCTTCGACCTTTGGAGGGAGTGCCCTCATCCGTCCCGTTTCACAGACAGACTTGACTTGGTCTGCATCCGTCATTGTCGGCTTTTCCGCCTTGGGCACGGTCCCAGGTACGACTCCATTCAGCATGCGAAGGAACAAATGGCGGCTGGGCGGCATAAAATCCGAAAAAAAAAACCAGGAACTATTGAAGTTGGCTTGCAACAGCAGTTGCGGTGGCATGGCTGCATCCGAACTAAGGAAGCCAAAAGAAGAAGACAGGACGGAGCCAGGACACGGAGAGCTGCAGGGGCATGAATGTGGAAGTCAGGAGCAGGAGAAAAGATACCGCGAGGCGCTGGACGAGCAAGTTCACAATGCCCGAAGCTCAGGAAGTCTGGAAGTCGTGAACGTTATCGGAGCCACAGATCAAGAGACAGTGGCTGAGGCTAAATTTCGACAGAACGGGAAGGCACATGCCATGCTCAACTTTTCAAGTCGCGCGAGTGTTTGCATCTTAGCATTCGCAAGGCTGCTGAGAAGCAACAGGACCGCGACGTCGTTCTTGCTCAGGCCACGGCTTAGGAACTGCCACTCTTGTTGAACCTGCACCACCGCTGAAAGGTCGAGCGCGAGCAAGCAGACGTTGCAAAAGAGCCGGCCTCCCATTGAGCATTTGAACTGGCTGCGATCAAGCACGAGAGCACTAGCATTTTGTGCTGTCTTCTGGATGCTTGCAACCTGGGAGGCAAATCAAGAAAGTGCAGGCAAAGGCGGTGCAGAAGCAGGCATCAAGCCGAGCGAGCGGAGCAAGCCCGCTGCAGAGTGTCAGAGACAACACTGCAGGCATCGCTGCAGTTTCTCGCCCCCAGCTCAACCTTTGCCAAGTCCTGTCACGCCTTCACATCGTTCACATGGGGTTAGGCCAGGGCCGAGAAGCAGAAGCTCGCGGCCGCGCAGCGTGCGCAAGCAGAGCAGGCAGCGTGCCGGCCCGAGAACCTGAGAGGGCGCAATGAGACCCGGCACGGGTGAGCCGTGCCAAAGTTGCCACGGTTTATCATTATTGCCACAGTGGCGGATTTTTTTTTTGGCAAACGTTGCGGATGGGTTGCCCGAGGATGGATCAAACACTGCAGCGTGAAGGGCAGTACCGTCAGCAGGATGCTGCGGGAAGACTGGATTTGAAAGCTTGGGGCTGGAAATGATGTGATCGCGAGTTTGGCTGGGAGGAGTTTGAGCGACGGCAGCAGCACAAGCAAGAGGAGTCTGCGCTGATGAGACAGCAGTGCGCCAGAGTTTACTGCGAGTCTAGCCAGAACCATGCTTGTACGGGATAACATGTCCGAACTTGTGATTTCGCACATTGCTTTCAGTAAGTATGGGGCGGGGGTTGGCACACAGGAACAGGGAGGGAAGAGAAAGGAAGAGAACGGGAAGTGGACGGGAACAGTCCTGACGGAAAAAGAAGCTGGCGGACTTTGTTCACAAATTAGCCAAAACACTGTTCGCGTAAAGGATGGGAAAGGCAAGGAAGGAGACGAAAGAGTGCGTAAAAGGGAAAAGTCAGAACAAGGACGGGACATAGAAAAGACAAGACAAAGGAAGGGGAGCCCTGGCCCAGCCGTCCTGCAGAGTCCACGACTGTTGCTTGGCCTGTGCGCTCCTGGGGTTCTGATTTCTGCAGAGTTGTTCTTGCTTTTGAGGTGTTGATGTCCAGAATGATGCACGGGATTGTGCCCCTGTCACTGCGGTGCATTGACATCAGTTTGTACGCGTTTGTGTGGTGTGTGGTGTGTGTGTGTGTCTTTGTGTGTGTGTGTGTGTGTGTGTGTGTGTGTGTGTGTGTGTGTGTGTGTGTGTGTGTGTGTGTGTGTGTGTGTGTGTGTGTGTGTGTGTGTGTGTGTGTGTGTGCGGGCCGCTGGCTTCAGAAATCTCCAGCTTGATGCGCTAATATGTTCCGCCTTGCATTCACTCTTGGCGCCTTGCCGCTCCTTCGCGTTGCGCGTAAACCTGTGATTTGGAGATGAGCCGGGATCGCATGGTGGGGGCTGTGGGAATGGCACGCGCTGGGCGGTTGCGAGGTTGCATCAGGTTGCATTGGACATGGCATTCTTCGGAACCATTGTTCACCATGTTTGCCGATTGGAGTTTGCGCTGGCAGGTTCGAGCACGCCCAGAGGCTACAGCAGCAAGCGAAGCAACATGAGAAGGAGGATTGCCCGGCCACATTTCAGCTTCCTAATATTTGCAGGAATGTCATGAGTCACAGGGTTCACACCCGCAGGAAGATGTTCGGAGAGCTGCAGAATGGGCTCAACTTGCGCAGAAGCCTCTGGATGAAACGAGATCACAAGATCCTACAAGATCCTACAAGATACGTCTTGCCGGGCCACCAAAAAGTTGTTTGACGCTTCGCCAGGCCGCAGGCTTCCAAGCGCCCCAAACGCGCCCAGCTCAGAGTTGTGCATGGGCTCATTGATTCCCTGGCGTTGGCAGATCTTGGCACTCGTCTTTCAGAGGCACGCCAGCCCCGATCAGCAGAATGGCCGAAGCGGCCGTGGAGCAGCAAAAGGCCAAGGACATGCTTAAAGTCTCATCTTTTCGAGTTCCCAGGTTTGGACGCCATGTTTAGGGCATCATGGATTTACTGGAGGTCGCAGCTGGCATTGGGCTCAAGCGGGGAAGGGACGGACGCCATGCCGCGCCGCAGGTCGCCCTCCAGGCAAGCGAGCTGAGTGTTGAGAGCTGTCCGTCGTTTCCGGGCCAGGTCGAGGTCAGACTCCAGGAGACGCTCTCCGCGAAAGTCACGGAAGGACGGCAAAAAATCCGGGCATCCGGGGCTGCAAATTGAGTCACAGAGGGGAGACCGAGCGAGAGAGAGTGCCTTGGTGCAAGTCTACATTGCGGCCAGCAAGGCAAAGCACCATTATTCTACAGACGATTCTCAATTTCAACTGAAGAGCGTTTGAGCTGGGGATGTTGGATTTGGGGAAGGGCGATCTCAGATCTCTTCTTGGCTGATATTTAGAAGCCTGAGGTTTCTTCTTTAAAAGACTGCTGTAGTTGAAAGGACCCACGCGCAGGAACCATTCGAGGAGGAAGTAGAAATCGTAAGAAAAAAGGAACGAAATGATGGCAACTGAAAAATCGTCCCAGATGCTTGCAGGAGAGTCGGAGCAGGTCGCGCAAGGGTCGAGGTGGTTCTCAAGCTGGAAAGGCAGGGTCAGAAATCTCGCCGCTCAGGCAGATCAACGCGACAAGTCAGAACAGAGCCAGTGGAAAGCCATCGCACGCAAGGCTGAGGAGAAACTCGGGAAGCCGCTGCCGGAATGGGGAAGCATTGGTATCATCCAGGACTGAAGGGACGCTTTGGGTCATGTCAGAGTGCGCGAGTGGCGTCAAGTCGTCAAGTCACAGCGCAAGCCCTCGGTCAGGAGCTGAAGCCGGCTGGCATTGGCTTCATCAGGCCACACTCCGGCAAGGTGGACGACAAAGACCTTTTCTTCCACAAGTCAGCTCTCAAGAACAGCTTCTCGGACTGGGACAGAGGGAGAACACTGAAAGGAGCGCATCATCTCAAAGCATACCCTCGAAACACGATACGCCTTAGGCTAGCCTCGAGAGACGTCTCTGCTTACATTCCTTGCACACAGCACGTCCTGGTTGACAGAGTTCAAGGAAGGCCCCAGCAACAAGTCAAGTTGTGAGTCCATAGATGGAAGGGCCTGTGTAAAAAGGCAATCCACGAATGATGCCCAAACACTGTGTTTTTCCTTTATGCTTGGCATTAGGCTGTTTGCCACGACCCCAAGCCTGAACGTACAGCTGCCAGAAGCGAAGAGAGCACAGCTGTTCTGCACCAGGCTTAAAGCTCCGTGCGCTGAAGTATCGAACACAATTGGGCTATGTATTAGTCACAATTGAACCGAACATTTTGAGAGGTCACATGCTTGGCGCAAGATTTGCGGAAGTTGTGTGAAAGTCTCACGAAGGTTCATGGACCTTGCTGACAGCTTCCGCACACAGGGCCGTCCAAAGTGTGCTACGTTTTGTCTGAAAATGTTACGCAGCCCCAGCTCGAGCTGCCAAAGTGAACTCGCGTGCTACACATCATTTAAGGGCTGCAATTTGCGAGCCAAAGCTTTCGACGAGTATGAAGGCTTTTGCTTGCTTTTGCTTGCTTACTCGAGAAGGTCGTGCTCGTAAAACATTGGCTCCTCCCCGAAAGTTCCGCGATGGAGCTGAAAAAGCCCTAGAGGACCTGAAAGCATGCCAATTCTCAAGCTGCTGAGTTGGTCGCATGATTGCAAGAATGGATGATTCAACAACGACTCTTCAAATTGATGCGGTTGGACGCTGGTAGAAGAAGCAGTGGCAGTTGCAAGCATGTGGCTTGAGCTGGAATCAAGACAACAAATGACTCCTGAGCACATAGCCACAGCTCCAAAACTCACTTAAGCTCTATACAGCCAAAGACGCGTCCATGTATGGAAGGGGTGGGCGTGAGCAAGGGAAAGAATGTGCGGCCGGGGGCAGCCCAACTCTTTTTCCTCACTGAAGGGTGGGGCTAGGCGCACTGACCCCAGACGTGCTTCACCCATCAAAGGACAAAGTCCCTTGAAGCTGATGACGTGGCTTGTTTGAGCACTCATGCAGCTGGCTTTCGGCATGTGGGCTGAGGCAATTTTGACGATCTGCAGATTGGCGAGGAGTGTACTTATGATGCAGTTCTGGATGAGACCAAGGGCAAGGCTGCAGCCAAGAACATCGTCCTCAAGAACGGGGGCTCCGGCTCCAGGCACGTGTGTGAGCGTGCAGTGTGCTTCTTTTTCGTATGCAGCGCCTCTCTCAGGCGCGGCGGAAGAGAAGATTCCCGCGATCGTCGCCGGAGATGAATGCGAAGTGCTGATCACAGCCGGGCCGCTGGACATTTCTTGAATGCGAGAGGACTAAGCGACTACCCAACCAGGGTGATCATCCCTTGTGTTTGCGCTGATGCAAACTGGCAAATGCCTGGCGGGCTCTAGACCTATAGGACCTACAGGTTAAAACGTGCCTAAAACAGTGTAACAGGTGTTTGTCCCTCCTGACGTGCGCACATGGACATACTCATGTATGTGCATGCATTCAGATGCTAATGCCACACAAAGCATCCCAGGCGTGATGGGGGGAGGCTTTGTCAGCACGCTTGAAACGCCCAAGTCTCACGCTTACGGGCAACAGGGTTGGGTGTTTGCCAGAGATCCGGGAATGCCATCACTGCTTTGGCAGTGTGTTCCGTGGAGTTGGGTGCGGACAGATGCAGTGCCGCAAAAAGGAAGGCAGATGCTCTTTGACTGATCTCCTTGGGTTGGCTGTGTGCCAAGCCTGGGGGTGCAACCGGCGAGGAAGCAGCCCTTGACCAGCTCATCGAGAGCAACTGCCGGGCACACACTCAGAAACAGCTGGACAGCTTCTTCGCGCAGCTTGCGACTCAAAGTATGAGAGTTTTAGGCGATTGCAGGATGACTCGATGGCCGTCTCAGGAAGGAGGAGCGAGCAAGGAGGACTAGGGATATGTTCCGCTGGCTCGGTTTGTTCCAGCGAATGTTGACCCCGGATGAATAAAGCCCGGATGATGAATATGGAGGTGTTCCCCTCCAAAAGTGACTGATTCATCCCCACTAAAACCAGGGACACACATTGATAAACAGGGCCTATTAGTCCGGGGTCAACATTAGGCTTTCAATGGCACACTGCGGACTTTGCGCTGGATAGAACCATAGGTTCGGAGATGAGCAATTTGAATCACCGGGTCGTTTCAGTATTCATGCCTACGTCAATGCCAGGTACGCAGCCATCAAGCAGCAGGCTGAGAGTAACCGCAAGGCGAAGAAGTCCTCGTCAAACCGTGGGGAACTGGGTCACCCAGTTACTCAGTTCTTGCCAGGGTGAGGATCGAGCCGACCTGTGGCAGGCAAGGGCCACGCGCGACTCGCGAGCGAAAGACGGGAGGGAGGCAGAGGCAATTGGGCGGCGTAGGCAGAGGTCTGGCGCGAGAGCGCGGAGGCCGCTGCTGCTGCGGACCGCGACAAGAAGCTGGCCAAGCGCGCCGCCCGCAAGGAGAAGAATTGACAAGAGCTCAAGATTTGTCATGGGTCGGCCCGCTGGGTCGGCAGGAGGTGGATGCCTGCCTCTTCGATGCGATGATGAGGAGGGCAGGTCAGCCCTGGCTGCCTTTGCCTGGCTGGCTTTGCAGCTGCTTGCAAGGTGCACACAAGTCTGAGAAGGGGATCGGAGATCATGTCAGGGAGCGAGAGCTGCTCCTCAACAGGTGCATATGTCATGGAGACTGTTGATGTGCTTGAGTCGGCCAACGCCCAAAATCGAATCGTGACCTGAATTTGGGTCATCCTCGATCCTGCCAGGCCACTTGTCCAGCGCATGGTGAACCACGAATTTAGAACTGATCACACGGAGCCGATGTTGAAGAAGGCGATAGCTTGCCGCATGCACAGCCTGGCCGGGCTTCTTTACCGCCTCGCTTTGCGCCAGGCCCTGACGGCCAAGCAGCTGCAAGCCTCGGCCTTCGGAGCTTCCACTTTGGCAAATCTCAGCTGTGAGGCGCCTTGAGCGTTTTTTTGTTTTTGCTCGCACCTGAGGTCTCCGCGAGGAATCCGTCAGAGTGAGACGGCCTTGACGTGTTGCCACTGCAAGCAGCCCAGATCTCTGAGAGACCTTCGGGCTGTTTGCACCAAAGCGCCTTCCTTACATTTATGTGCAGCCATGGCTTCTGGATTCAGTGGCTTTGACTCCGCTGCCCCGGATAAAATGGGAGAATGCAGAGGATGTCCGCACAACCGTCATGACTATTATTGGTGGAAGCCATTCCGGCATGGGTTTATTCCTTCATCCATGCTCCAGTTGGCTGCCGCGTTTGCCTCAAGCGTTGTCTTGGAACTTTGGGAATGATGCAAGGCACAATGTATACAGCCATGCCCATCTAGCGAGTCTTCTCAAGTTTCTGCAAGTGCCACTTGCGACCAAGCACAAGAAGCAAGAATGACCTTGCGACGCATGTCTTTGGGACCCTTCCCGCTTACATGCCTCCCCCGCAAGCAGCATAGCAGCATTACTGCCCGCTGGCATTCATGGCAAATGCCTGGACCGCGCGGGAAGGCCGCGCTCCCACGCTCCCACGCTCCATCGCATCGTGCCTCCCGTTGCAAGGCCCTGGCCGCCCTAGCGGTCCTAGCGGTCCTAGCTCAGCAAGCGCATTGCTGGGCAGCCGGCTGCCCGGTGCAGGTGGAAGGCACCCACGAAACCTTGACGAAGCCTTGATGATAGCACTGCCATAAGTCCAAGAAAGTCAAGGAATAAAGTCGAATGCATCCCAAGCAACGCACACTGCGGGAACCAGCAAGACCGCGGAGGGCATGGGCGAACAAAAAAGGCGAGAAGATCGCACACATGGTGCCAAAAGCTTGAGGTCGAGTTGACGAACATCCGGCATGACGATCCCTTGGCATTCGTTCCCTGGGATGAAGCCAGCGCCGTGGCGTGGTTCAGTAGATGAAGTGGAAGGCGAAAGGGTGGGGTTCTAGTTGCCCGGAGTTTCTTGTTGACTTGGAAGCATGCGCCAAGGAAACGAACCAACTCAGGTTTGGCAAGGACACTCCGCCAGTCGAGCTAGTCGAAAATATTGAATGCGTTTTATGGCAGGAAGCTACACTCACACAGAGCGGTTGTCTTGCGAATTGACCACCGACTTGCTCTTCGATTGGCTCTCTAGCTGCACTTAAACGGTGAGCTTCCTAGTTGAGTCTCTCTGTGCAAAGGCCTGACCTCAAGCGCAGCATGTCCCTTTGGTTGGAAGCCACAGTGCGCGGCACTTAGCCTGTGGCTTTCGTCGCCTTGGGAGGCTGGAGCAAGAAAAGGCGCGGGGTAAAGAAGCGACTTTCAGCAAAAGACACGACACTTTAGAGCCTCCGGCTCACTCCGCCGATACTGGCCTCTCCCTCTTCTCCTTCCTCTCTCTCTTTTTTCCAAATCCCCCCTTCCCTCGTCCTCGCTCCCTCTCTCGCTCGCTCTCCTCCCCATCCTCTCTCTCTCTCCCTCCCTCCCTCCTTTCTATGCCTTTCTCTCTCTCTCCCTCCTCTCACTGCCTTTTTTTTCTCTCTCTCTCTCTTCTCTCTCTTTCTCCCCCACCTCGTTTCTCTGGCTCCACACCCCCCCCTTCTCTCTCTCTGTCGGCGATCGGCCGGTCACGTTTTCCGAGTTTCACATCTACCTTTAGGCACGCCATGCTGCGAGGCGCAAGTATCACAATGTCACCCAGATCTACTGGGAGACTCGACGCAGATTTGTCCAGCATCATGTCCTCAGTTCAGAGTGACTGTAGAACTCCCAGGAGCGCATAAGGCCGATTCAGCACGCCGGGCGCTCGCTTGCTCCGATTCCCCAGGCGCTTGACGGCTCCGGTGTTGAACGCGCGAGGCCTTGACCAACATCATCAGCTTGCACGAGGTCATGACCTCCAGAGCCTGGACCCAAGTGGCTTCTCAGGTGCGACAGCGCTAGAAATTCAGAAGTCGGGCCGAAACCAGTTGCAAGAAACCAGCAGTGACCGGTCGCAAGCATTGATTGGTGTACTGGCAAGGTTAGCAATGGGGTGAGGTCGGTAAGGTAGATTTGCAGCAAAGGAGGCTGTTTGCCCGCATGCTCAGGATTGCATTTTAGGAATTTTGGCCATCCGCTTCTTCTACCTGATAGTCCAGACACGGAGTTACCGTGTGCTCCTGAGCCCGCAGAGTTCATTTGCACAGTTCTTGGCCAAGAACAGTATGCAAGAGAATGGAATCTGATGAGCTGGTTGAGGTGAGAGCACGCTGGTGAGCCACAACAGCATGACGACTGTCCATTGCTCAGCCTTTACTTGGAGAGGTCTAGCCTGGTGCATCCAAAGTGTCTAGAGGTTCCTATTCAATGCGTGCAGATGCGGGCAGAGAGCCAAGGATTGGTACTACATAGTCAGCAAGTTCAATTGGTCGATACTGGCAGTCCCCGGCTGCTTTATCCCGTATCCTGATTTGTTGGAAAGGCATGGGGCCAGGTGGACACTGGCTGGGCTCCCATTTTTTTCTCGACGACGCCTCAGTATGGGCAGGCATGCTGAGACTCCTGAGGTGCTGGTGGCATTTGTGCCGTTTGGTCAAGACACGGCTGAGGATTCTGGCAATGCTCTCGCAAGACTTCAAGAAGCTGGATCCTGAACACAAAGCACGGGCTTGCTTCTCCCGTCTGCTCAGGTCTCACCCAGATTCGGCTGGCAGCTGAGCTTTGCCAGGGCTTGGGAGGCAGATCGGAGATCGGGAGATCGGGAGAGGACTTGTCGTGAGCCTCCCAGGTTTGGATGGACTGTGAAGAACTTCCACACATCGGGCCTTTGAGCACGGACATGGAGGCCGCTCATCGGGCGCTGGGTTTGCCAACAGCTGCTTCCCGGTCTAAGTGGCATGGCCGTGCTTGGGCTGCACCTTTGCAGGCTTACATCAGTCAGGACCATGAAACGTGGCGCAACACTCAGCGGACGATCTAATGCCAACCTGCACACCCTCTTGCAGGGTTAGGGCTGGCAGCGCACAATTACAAGGGAATGTTGTACTGCATCGAATCGTTCTCGGCACCGGCATCCAGCCAATGCGAAAGAACTTTGGGAGCTTTTGGAAAGTTTCGGTTGCCTTGAGTCAAGTGTATAGGTGCACGCCGGTGACAAAACCTCGTCTTGTGAAGCAGTATGGGCATTGACGTGTCCATTGCCTGGTCCGTGAAATGCCCCTCAGCGACCAGCTGGGCATAATCATTTCACATCAACAGCTGGGTGCTTGACAAGCTGGCAAGGCATGTATTTCTCGAAGGGCTTGCTCAAGCAGATGAGGCGTGGATGCTGTGGAGCCCATCTCTCTGTGCAGTCTCTCATTGCCAAGTTCCCAATTTCGTGTTCAACATGTGCCTCACACAACGCTCCAGGAATCTCTGAAGCGCTGCCCGTGCGCATATGCCTATGTGGCGGCGCTGCTCGCCACAGCGCAGGCTCAGATACAATGTTACAACCGGGGCAGAGAATTGCTCGCATTCCTGCAACGAAATTCGCGTGTTTTTCACACCTGGCGGAAACATCCTGGAAAGGCTCTTGAAGTGGTTGGTCAGAAACATGCCTGCCCCAGCGAGCTGCTCGGTGAGGGGATTCCAGGAGTACATCTTTTATGAGTTTTCCAGAAATCCTGTGCGGATGTCACGCTGGCCAACACTAGATGGAATTGCCGTCGAACGCAGCGGCACATCGATCAACCATTCAATTAGAGATTTTCAGACATACTCAGCTTCAGGCCAGGTAGCTTGAGCCCTCATAACTTCCACCGCCCAAGCGAGTAAAACCTATGAAAGCTTGCGGAGTGAATAGGTGCATGACATTTGAGCAGGCCAGGGAGGCGGAGTCCCCCCTGGCCTGCTCATGTTGCATCTTTTGCCATGAGCGGATGCCTTTGGGTGGGCCTCGCGCAGCTCCTGGATGGCTTTCCCTTCCAAGGAATGCGGCCAGGTTGGACTCGCTGACGGCCATCCGCCGGCACTACCGAGGATGTGTGGGGGGGGCAGTCGTGGGCGCGATGGGCGATCCTGGCGAAGGCATTCGCCCATTTGCGTTGCCGCCTCAGGCAGCACAGCTTTCCGGCATCCAGGCTTCGTGGTTTATGGCGAGTTCGAGAAGGGGATTTGGGCAAAGGTGGGTCTGAGTTCGTGGGAGAACATCTCAGAGATCGGCAACGGCGCGCAGGACAAGAAGGGTTTAACGGCCAAAATGAAGATGGCTCATGTCCTAGATCAAGGAGGCGAGACGGAGTTCTTGGTGGAGTCAGAAGAGATGAGGGCCACATGTGTCAAGAACTACGTGAAGGCGGTTGGAGGACTACCATGCGAAAAAGAAGAACCGTCGATAGAACAGCTCTCGGCCATGAACCACAAGGTGTACGTCACAATGATGGCATGTGAAGGCACGTACTGGGAGACAAGTAAATGTGCGCACTTGCCCGGCGAGCTGGCAGCATTGGGAGACAAATAGAGGCGGCAAGAGGCGAATGCGACCCGGCGATCTGGCATCATTGGGAGACAAATGAAGGCACATACTGGGAGACAAGTACACGCGCACGCTGGCGAGCATGCGGCCTGGCAATCTAGCAGCACGAGGCCCGTTCTTTTTTAGAAGAGTAAGAACCCGAAAGGTAAACTGTTTGGGGAAAAAGGTGTGGGGTAATTCGGTGGGAGGGCGGGTTTGCGCCTGCCCGTCACTGGCGAATGCAGCACATCCTCAGCAGACAAGGCGTGCACACGGAGCAGAAATGCACACCGCGTGCTTGTTGCGAACCCTTTCGCATCCGGCTCGCGCCGGGTGCTTGGTGGCCTTTGCACGCTGCGCAGGAGGATGAAAAGCAGCATCCCAAGGATGTTTGGCCGCTCACGTGTGGCCATGGAACAACTTGCGCCGAGGCTGGCCCGCAAATTCTTGGACGTCTCACAATATGCCTTGAGGCGTGGCTGCGCATTGTGCATGCATGCGAGCAGCTTGCCGGGCGAGGCATTTCAGAGAGGAGAACAACTTCACCTTGGCCAATGTGCTTTTGTCAAAGTGGCCGCGTGCTCAGAACGGTCACCCAAGAATCAAATGGCAGAGTTCCGAGGGAGATCTTCCCCGTCCTGGCTCACGCCACCTTCGTGCTGGCCGGGCCCTGGGCATCCTGTGTGTGTTTCTTTCATCCAGCGCAGCGCGCTTGAATGTGTGAAGGATATGCCCAGCGGCAGCTCCCAGAAGAAGTCTTGCGAAGTTCTTTGGTGCCCAGAGGGTGGCACGCCGTGGACTCAGAGTCATGTATGGCTGCAAGAAACAGCACTCAAATTCAGGCCCAACACTCTCACCTGCCGCTGCGAGACAATTTTCTCACAGGAGTTCAGGCAGGGCACAAGCCATCCACCTGAGAGACTGCACTTTGCCCAAGGAATGTCTCAGCATGTCTCTTTGTTGTCGACACCCGCCGGAGGCTGGGATAGCGAGAGCGAGAGAGAGAGAGAGCAGAAAACTTGCGCAGCAAGTAGCTTGTGACAGGTCGTCCCTGCGGAACATCACCTCAATCCTGAATGCTAGGTGCCCTCCGTGCGGCAAATATCCGCATTGCAAAGCAAAAGCCAGGCACGGCACCCAGCCCTTCCATCAGGTGGGTTGTGGGCAGGTATTGGACACTGGCATATGGCATCAACCGTGCCTACGTGCGAGCCCCGGGTCAGCCGTCCCTCAAGCTACATGTTCTTCAACCTGCCCAGGCTCAAGACCACGGTTTCGAGATAGACTATGTGCTTGCCCCAGGTGTTGCGTTCCCGCTTGGCTCTGCCAAGTCTACACAGGGCACGCAGGACTTTGCATAGGTTGTCTGCTCAAGGTCCAACCGGATTCTGAGATCCACTACCCAGAGAGGAAGGTAGGTATGAGACTTGGGTCACCCTTGCTTCCCCCCACAGCTTGACACAATTGGCTGAGGCTGGGCCAAGGTCAAGGTTCTCATCGATGCGCTACGGGAACGGGGCCCTGAGCGCTGTGCCTACGGCGTGTCCCTGGACTCGGACCGCAACGCGTGCTTGAACCAAGACAGACCCTGACGCAACCCGTCGCTGCGTTTCCGAAAGCTTGGCATGCGGACGGCTGACAAAACCTGCCACCCTCAGGTTCAACATCAGGTAAAAGCACAGTGTAACTCTCAAGCCAGCCCGGCATCATGATAGAAGGGTTGGCACGCGATCCTGCCAGGATGCCTTCATGAGAACGTCTGAGTCCCTTTCGGCCATCATAGCAGATTACGGCCTCGATCAGGAGAAGCTGGGAACCCCAGCACGCAGCATTTGCAGCACGAGATGTTAGCGAAACCGCCGAGGCTCATTATGTTCTCGCAGGCGGGCATGTGTTTTTCGAAAGCTTGCCTTGAGGGGGTGGGCGAGGGCACAAAAGTGTGTGTGACGGTGCCCTTTCCCCAGTACGGAAGGCGTTCCACGGGTGCATTTCGCATTTGTTGGGCCGCTTAGCGGGTGCGAGTTTCATGTTCAGCTTGTGCCACGTGCAGCTGAAGCATATAGATTTTGCGCCTGCCAGGAGTATCACGTGGAGCAGAGCGAGCAAACCAGCAGCGACATTTTCATAAATGGGGGCTTTTTCATAGCCGCGAGCTTATTGTCGAAGCCAAATTGCATGTGCCCCCTTGCTTCCTGTGGAAGGAACACGACAACCCTCTGCCGAGTGAGGGTTTCTTTCGGGAAGTGATGATGCTGATTCAAATATTCTAGATTGAGTTTGGGCTGTGTTGATAGGTAATGGCATACTGACATGACAATGGCTCAAGAAAACAAGCTGCTGCCCGTGCTGACTTTTAGGTAGATCCCACCTTTCAACAGGTTATCAGCCGTATCGCTGGTACCTTGTACAGTCAGCTCTCACCCGCGCCGCAATGGCGTCAAGCGGCGACGGATGCCACCCTGCCATAGCAAGGATGAACGAAGCAGTGGCCAACGAATTGATCAAGGGTGGGCATCCGGAAGGGAAACCGCCATGCAATCCGTCACAGCGCTCCCGAAGCAGTTTTCCTGAATCCGACCAAGGTGATGCGCTTGTGCCCATCACATCGGTCGTTCTTCCGGAGGATTCGATGGGAAGCGGAGGGGAACCTCTCGCCGGACATCAACCTGGGCAAGAGATGCACGCGCACATGACTAAGAATGAGACTCACCTTCATCAACATCATGTGAGCGCCCCGAATATATATCAACATAGCCAGACGGTGAATGTGGTCAACACAGGTCCGAGCACGGAGGAAGTGGCTGCCTATGCTTCGGCACGCCACGACGCCATCATCAATCAGCTCCAAGCCGGCCATGTTGAGGAAAAAGGCCGACTCTATCAGGACGCGGTGAACCACATCAATGTATGCCAACAAGAGGCAATGGCGAAAGAAAGAGAGTTTAACGAGGCAAGACAGCAGTGGGTTGCTCAACGCTCAGAAGCTGAACAGAAGTATGAACGGCTCAAATTGATTTGGGAAGTCACCCACAACAAGCAGAAGGAGGAAGCGGACAGGAACGCTGCTGAAATGAGGGAGATTATCATGAAGCAGTCGAGGGACATTGAGGCACTACGTCATGAACTGAAATCTCGCAGTGAGCAGAGTAGTTCTTCTAATGTTCCGATTTTCGGTCTGAGGCCAAAGGCCTCTCCTGTACAGACGTTTCCTCCCCCTGGCCTGGATCTTAGTTCTAAGGTACGTGTCAGGTCAGCTTCCACCGAACTCCGCCGTGACGGGCCAGGTGCCGCCGATGATCTTGACGGGGATGCCGGGGATTACGAACCGACATCTCCGGCACAGGACCTTAACGATGGTGGCGGATGTCCATCAGGCGCAGGGAATGGCCAAAGCGGAGGCGGTGGGGAACCACCTGCCGGTAATCCCGATGATGACGATGATCCTGACGACGACGATGACGATGGGAATGACGATGGGAAGAAGAGCAAGAAGGACAAGAAGAAGAAGAAGAAGAAGGATAAAAAGAAGAAGAGCAAAAAGGACAAGAAGAAGAAGAAGAAGAGCCACAAGAAGCGAAAGAGTGGGTCTCCTTCCGACTCTCCAAGCTCTTCATCATCCAGCTCCTCAACATCATCATCCTCATCATCATCATCGGAGAAGGCACGAGTGATCCGCAAGAAGCTCAACAAGATCTTGGGTAAGCAGGCGAGCGCAGTGGACGCAGACCATGACAAGCCCAAGGTCAAGGAGGCGGAGAGGATTGTTGTTCCATCCTTCCCACTTCCTGAGAGTTACAGGAATTGGCGCATCAAGGTGCGGGAAGCCGTATGTGCGGCATCCGACCGCCCCGATGACGCTTTCACGTGGATCAGCAGAGTGTGGGAGCCCGCCGTCACAATCGAGGAGCTCAAAGATCCCGGTGCCTTCCTCACATTGGACGCCAAGTTGCTGTCCGCCCTCACCAACATCATTCAGGGTGACCTGGCGAGACAAGTCGACACCTTCAAGGAGATAGAGGCGCAGAAGAGGAATCCAGTTCGTGGGAGACAAGTGCTTCTTATGGTGCATGAGCACCTGAGCACGAACATCAAGCACGGAGCCACCTATGCCATGGAGGATCTCCTCAACGTGAGGCTCGTGAACGATAACCTCACTTCCTTCATGCGTAGCTGGGAGGGTGTTCTTGCAGGAATGAATGCCAAGACGCCGGATGACTCCATGCTTGAGGCTCTGTTCTACAACCAGCTGAAAAAGAGCAAGCAAATGCAACACCATTTGAATGTCTATTTGAGCGCCTCGGAAGAGTCCGCCGATCACTCATACACCTACTTGATTGAATCTGTGAGGCAATACCTGTCTCGAGCAAGGCTCGAGCGCAACCGAGAACGGGTTGCTAGGCAGAACGGGGGTAGGCCAGCCGCACCCGCTGCTGAGAGCCAACGTGTGCCTAAGGGGTTTTGCATTGCATTTGTCAAGTATGGGTCGTGTCGGCGGGACAATTGCACGTACAAGCATGAACAGCCATCGGGCGATGCCAGGGGTAGGACCCCATCAAGAGACGCTAAGCCCAAGAAGGGTAAGGGTAAAGGCCGAACGAACAGCCCAAAGGGAAAGAAAGAGTGCCGTTTCTACCCTAAGGGGAGATGTGACCGTGGTGAAAACTGCCCATTTGCTCACATCGATCCGAAGCCGGCCGTTCCAGGGTCAAGGGAGCCTTCCACAGACAAGCAAAAGAAGCAGGGAAAGGACCGGAAGCATCGCAAGTCGAGCAGGGATCGTTCCAAGTCGACCTCTCGATCCACTTCCCGTGACTCCAAGGGAGAGAAGAAGAAGGGTCACAAGGGAAAGTCTTCCGGAAAGCCTTCCCCTGCTGCTGTTTGTGTGTTGGGATGCTTGTTGTCTTCCATGATGAACGCCCCTATCGCTGAGGGGAACCTCATGTCGGACTGGAAGCATATGCCTGCCCTTCCAAGTGTGCGTTTCAGCTCGAAGGTTGAAATGAATCGGATACCAGCACATGGTGAGCAGTTTAAGATCGCGGACAAACCGCGCGTGTATTCAAAGGTCTACCCAATCGACCATCAGTTTTTCCATGACGAAGTCAGCATAGATGATGCGAGACTTGGAGCAACCATGCTCGCCTTCATCGTGAGGCGTGAATTGGAAGGCCATCCGACTAGATGCGAGTATGAATGTGACAGCGAGATCGGATGCGACCAATGCGCCCCGAGAGATATGCACGCAAAGCCCGCAATGGCGAGCAAGAGATTTTCTCCGAACTGTTCATGGATTATTGACACTGGCAGTGGGACCGACCTTTTCACTCGCGCGAATTGCCCCGAATATGCAATTTATAATTCAAATGACCCCGTGATGTTGATGACTGCCAATGGACCAAGTGATTCGTCAAAGCAGGCCTACATGGCCGCAGGTGACCTTGGGAACACGGATCCATACTTATTGCCGCAAACACCCTCTGTTCTCTCCGTAGGTTTGAAGTGCATGAATCAGGGTTATGACTTCATCTGGCATGCAAAAGAGAAGCCATTCTTTGTCAAGCCTGATGGGACGAGAATTTATCTCAAAGTTCGAGATTATGTCCCGTACTACGACGTGTGGGATAGCGACTCAGCATGTGCGTGTCCCGCCAGAGGAACACCGCCAAGCCGACCGGAAGGTCAGGTCGCCAGAAACAATTCACCTAGTGAATCATCATACTCCTCCTCCGTGCAAACCGAAGATGCCGCGGAAGAAGAGTATACGCCTAGCATTGCCCCTCTAGAAGATCCTGAGGTGCATGCTAGAGTTGTCGCCGAGCTTCTGGCGAATGACCCCGTTGAAGTCATTCCAGATGAACCTGCTGAGCCGATGGAGAGTAAAGATTTGGCAGGGGAAGATGTTGTTGGCAACCCCGATAAGAAAAGTCCTAGGTCACTTGCAGAAAGCGCCCTTAGGCAGGAAGCAGCATCACGAAAGCACCTGATGACACACCAGCCAAAGAATCCATTCTGCGAAGTGTGCAAATGCGCGAAGATGACCAAGTCTCCCTCTCGCTCGCGGGGGGGATCCAGACAGGTTGATGCTCGAAAATTTGCTGAGCACATCACAGCCGATTTCATAATCACTGCGGATGAACAGGAGCTGGGCATAGACGATGAATACTCTGCCCTTGTCATAAGTGACGTTGCCACCGGTTTCAAATATGCATACCCTTTTGCTAAAAGAAACACGGAAGCCACTGTGAAGGCGTTTCAGCACTTCACTTCCTCGTCGGACGAGGTTGGCACGTTTTATAGTGATAATGCCCCTGAGTTAATTGCTGCAGCTGAACAGATGGGCTGGAGACATGTCCTCAGTCAAGAGTACATTCACAAAACCAACGCGGTGGCTGAACGGAGCATCAGAACCGTGCTCGAGGGAACTCGAGTCGCACTTGCACAGGCCGGGTTGAATCATTCATACTGGCCGCACGCCGCAAGGCACTGGTGTTTATCTCAAAATGTGTGTGAACCACCTTCTGGTTCCAGAACACCGTGGAATCTTAGGTTCGAAGAAGAGTTCAAAGGTCAGTTCTTGCCGTTCGGATGTCGAATTGACTACTGGATTGGTCCAAGACAGAAACCGAAGAAGGACTTGAAATTTGATCCCACGTCCAATCCGGGAGTGTTTGTTGGATATGTCATCCACCCCGGCTTTCTATGGAGAGGTGACTACCTTGTAGCATCGTTGAAAGAGCTGAATGAAACGGACTTTGATGATGTTGTGAAGTTGCATCGTGTTTTCAAAATCACGAGGCCCGATGGAAACTTCGTTTTCCCGATGCAGGACCGATACAAGTCCCTTCGTGAGGGTAAGATTTCTTCAGATCAGTCTGGTCCCACCATTCAGGATGCCCCTCTCCTAGAAGCGGGACAAGATCCGGAGGCTGTTGCCGACGTGGAAGATGAGACGCTTCTAGATGAACCAGCTCCATCCAAGGTGGAAACAATCAAAACTGTTGATCACAAAACTGGTGGGTTAGTTGAAATCCCGAAAGAAGGATCCTCATTTTCAGAGGCGGGAGGCTTTCTGGTGAGGAAGTACAAAGGGACTAACCGACCACCCACTATATCCTCTTTCGTTTGGCAATCTATGTCTCAGAAGC